TGTGCGAAGTAGGGTAGCCCACTTCTGTTTGGGCCATCCTTGCTCCAGAGCAGTCTTCTCAAAAAAAAAAAAAAAAAAAAAAAAATCTATCTGGGTCACTCTGTAAACTTAGGGACAAAATTTGCAGCTTTAGTTATGTTAAAGTACTGCTCAGGCTCTTGTTCTGAACCTCCTAACCTTTGACGTTCTTCCTCCTTAGCTTTCATTAAGTTCATTTGAGCCTCTAGTACTGCTAATTTAAGTCTCATTCTCTCCATTTCCATATCACCTGGAGTAGGTGATCCCTCATGTTCACTGTTAACAGGCATGTTTACTGATGAATTATTACCTTCCTCCCTGAAGCCTGAAAAGTTGAAAGACTCAACTTCTGACATAGTTTTATCTTTAAACGCTGTATAGCCCTTGTGGCTTAGCGCTTCTTTTTGATTATAATAATAATAATAATTTATCTTTAAACACTTGCTTCCCTCTTACACTATCAGTGGACAAAGTTTTCCCACAGGCACATAAAATAACACAAATTGAATGTAAACTATGCACCTAGCACTTACCATAACCACAACAAAAATGCGTTACTCAACCTTTCTCCCACCTTAGGAGAAAAACAACCTGTAAACTAATATATGAAAACAACACTTCCACTGACACCACCTTGGTAAATCGTCTCCTACCAGAAACATGCAACTGTTATTACCCCATACCAGCACATATAGTTCAAAGAATGTTTTGAGTTATTTTAGCAGTCAAATAACTCTCCCGGTCAAGCTCCCATGTTACGTTGGTATGTCTTATTACTTTAATAGTAAGGTTCTCACTACATGTTCTAGTGTGGGGTAGCTTTTTACTTAATGGCCTTATCTGTCTAGGGGTAATACTTACATTATGGCTGATCATCTTGAGTGTCTCTGATATCTTTTCACCAGCCCTCTTCACAGGTTATGTAAACTACTACTATAAAAATATAACTGTATTCTAAATAGATATGTACAGAAGATACAATCACATATTCGAAACAAAAATCTAAACACTCCTTAGCTGTTCTCCCACATGGTGCATCTCAGCAACTTTGTCCTTCTCTCTTCTTGACTAACTCTGGGCTAACCAGTGTTTTGACACACTTTATTCACCCTGAGTATGGTGGCCACAACTTGAGTTATACAAACTCACCCCTGGAGCACACATAATGCCCCAAAAAGATAGAAAAAAGGACCCAGAGGTCCTGCCACCTCCATGTCAAGAAAAGAAAGAGAGGGAGGGGAGGAGCCTAGCTAAGCTCCTCCCACACCCACCAAAACAAAAGACTGTTGCCAAGCACAATTCTCCAGTTACCACAATTCTACCACACCTTAATTTTACTTTACAAAAAGAAATACAACTTCATAAACTATTTATTTAAATTGTGTTTGTGTGTCTATAGTATAACCTATTGAGAAAAAAGGCTTGACCCAGCTGCTTCTCAGTCCTAAGGGTGATCAGTCCTTTTGACATTTAGAGCTAAGTCCCCATCAATTCAATATAATTAGGTATTCCAGAGTAACTGTTACTTATAAATACATGTTGGGTCCTATAGCCCCATAACACTGCTACATCTAGCTATGACAATCTTCCCAGTACCACACAGGCGAAATTAAATGACAAATATGATGCAAGGGAGAGACTTGTTTATTTTATGCTCTGCAAGGAAGATGACTGTAAGATTCCTTTCACTAACTTTGAACTTGATGCAGCACAAAGGGCAACTCCACGTCGCTTGGTGAGGATGGTATTACATACAACTTACTTAGATTGCTGTGTCGAGTACCAGGTAATCCTTTACTTGAATTATATAACATGAGCTATATAACTGGGGAGGTCCCTAAATCTTGGACCAACAGCCTAATCATTCCAGTTTTAGGAACTGGAATGATGAGGCCCAGTCAACAAAATGCATTTCGCCCAATATCTCTTACTAGCTGCTTGTGTAAAACATTCGAGATGATTCTTAATCGTCTTGTGTACAGAATCAAAATTTTTTTCTCCCCCGTTGCATGGTTTCATGCATGGAAGGGGCGAGCATCATTGCATAGCCACCTTTCTCACCCTGCACACTGCCAGGTCATACACTACCTTCCTTGACCTTAAATCTGCTTCTGATGTAGCCAACCGACATGTAATCATTAGTGAGCTTACCAGAATGGATGTTGGAGGATGGCTTCTCCGCTGGATTAAAGGCTACCTGTCCAACAGAAAGTCTTCTGTGTTGTTCCAGGGACATAGTGTACCTAAAGACCTTGAATTAGGAACCCCACAGGGAGGTGTGCTCAGTCCTACTCTATTCAGTATTTTAATTAATGCCTTAATGCTATGCCTAGCCAGCCCCATCATTATATGATTAGTTTTGCTAATGATATAATGATTCACACCACCGGATTCTCCAACACCCAAAACATCCTTAATCATGTACTAGCCTCGTGTCAGGACCTGGGGTTGATAATCTCTACTGATAAAACAAAGATACTCAATAGGCGTCCTCCTTGACTGAGAGGCATAGTTCGCCAGATCCAGTTGCATGATGGATCTCTTCTAGAATATGTAACCAGATATAGGTATCTAGGCTTTGAGGTCCCACTACTTGGACCTGTTGTAACGAGACTGTCGCCAATACAAAGAAAGGCTGAGAACACTTAGTGAAAATGATCTGTCTTGCTTATATTAGATCATTGGTTGAGTATGCTGCGCCACTACTTTCTCTTTTGTCTGAATGGAAGTTTGGAGGGCTGGAAAAACTGCAGAACGAAGCAATGATGATCATTTTAGGATGCCCTCATAGTGCCAAAATTTTAAATATGCAGAAAGAACTTGATATTCCAAGCATCAGAGATCGTGTTACTGAAAAAAATATCCTAATTGGGGTTAATATGCTCAGGCAAGCCCATTCAAACCACTGCACAGAAGCCCTCCAAACTTTCCTCAGCACTAGTGAACCCCTCCAGATGGATCGAAAAAACTGGAACCGACCTCTGCATGAATCAAATACATGGTCTATGTCAAGTAAGGCAACAGCGGCACTTCTCCGCTCCATGGAGTATTACCCCATTCCAAACTACCATCCCTCCATTTCCCCCCAAACTACTACTAAAATCACAACCAAAGCATCATGTTAGTCACACAGCACACTCACAAATTATTTTACGTTGGTGGTTCTGTTCACCAATCTACTGGTGCAACTGGTAGTGCTGCTGTTGTCATACAGAGTGATGACTCTCTTAAAGAAATTGGAGCACGCATTAATAACTCTGCCTCTACCCTTCAGACAGAACTGTTTACCATACTCCATGCACTCAAATGCGTCCATGTATCTGATTCTCTGTCATCCATAAATGCTCTCAACTCATTAAGTATAAACTGTAGCATGCTTGTGTCAGAAACCAGACACAGGCATGGTAAGATCGTGGACAGTAGAGTCAGAGTGCACATGCTGTGGATTCCATCTCACATTGGTCTTCAGATGCATGATAGAACTGATAAATTGGCTAAGCTGTATGCTTTCCAAGAGGGGGTAGATTACAATCTTGGCTTGTCAGTTAGCAGTTTGAGAACATTAATACGAAAAGAACTTCAACTGAATTTTATTGACTTATTGACCAGTCAGTCCAATCATCATTCTATAATGCAGGAGGAGCCACATGTCTATGGTTAATCCAACAAAATAAGCCGACTCTTGGATGTCACCGCCGCCCGCCTCCGGCTGGGTCACAAGTATCTTTGGCAGGTTAAATCACCACCAGATGTTGACCAAACGAAATTCAAATTTTGCCAGTTGGACTGTTGTTACACCCTGCGTCATTATGTACTGGAGTGCGATAAAATTAATGAATTCAGAGACAGCTCACTCAGGAATGTTCAAGTGGTATATTACAGGCCATTCTGGAAAAATACCCTGACTTTGCTCCCTGCAAATAAAGCATTACCACGTGTGTGTACTACTCACCTAATTGTATTCGCCTAATTGTGGTTGCCCCGCCTCTTCACTGATCGCTACTAGGTCCTCTCTCTCTCTTCTCCCTGAGCTTTGTCACACCTCGTCTTAAAGCAATGTATATTTCCTGCCTCCACTACATCACTTGCTAGACTATTCCACTTCCTGACAACTCTGTAACTGAAGAAATACCACCTAACATCCCTCTGTGTGTGTGTGTGTATGCATTTGTGTACTCGTATATGTGCGAGTGCTTGTGCTCGTGTGTGTATGTATACTCGTGTGAGTGTGTACTTACCTATTTGTGTGTGTGAGACCCAACAATCAACATTTGCACCAATAACTCATTACAGTTGTGACCGGGTGTGGACGTGTGAATTGCTCATTACTCTATAATTTGTTCATGATTGTAGCCATGTATAAACGTAAGTAAATTTACTTTCATGATTCATTACCTTTGTACCTTGTTCAGCTATCGAAACATTGGGGCCCAGTCCCTGGGCCCCAAAGTATTTTATATAAACAAATGTTGCAGTATTGTGATGACAAAGCTTGTCTTGGCGGTGCGTGATGAAAACTTGTGGACGGACGGACACACACACACACACACACACACACACACACACACACACACACACACACACACACACACACACACACACACACACACACACACACACACACACACACACACACTCCTCTCTCTCACACCTCTCCACACTCTCACTCTCTCACTCTCTCACTCCACACACCACACACACACCCACACACACACACACACACACACACCACAACACACACTCTCTCTTCTTCTCCTCTCCTCTCTCTCTCTCTCTCTCTCTCTCTCTCTCTCTCCTCTCTCTCTCTCTCTCTCTCTCTCTCTCTCACACACACACACACACACACACACACACACACACACACACTCTCTCTCTCTCTTCTCTCTCTCTCTCTCTCTCTCTCTCTCTCTCTCTCTCTCTCTCTCCACCACACCTTAAGTCTCGCTGGTCTCCTGTTAACACTCACACACTCCAGTGTACACTTCTTAGTACCTTGATGGTAACTTGCTCGTCTTTGTCCTGCTTACAATTGGTTAAGGTGTAAAATTTTCAGTATGGAGGAATATAGTCTTCAAGTGCACAACTTCGCAAAGACATCACAACGTGGATTTATGGTAAACATACTGCTTTTTTTTTTTTTTGCTCACATTTATAAGCATAGTTTACAGCTGCATTGACAACGTTTTTGCAATTAGTGTTTTACTAAGACCAGGTCTGAAAATTTAGTCCTCCATTGACATAATAGATGCATCTTTTCCAAGAAACTTCTAAGGCAAGCTGTGTCGACGTGATAATGATACTAGGAGTCTCAAAACTTTAGTGACTCTGCTTACCCTCTCATTAATCCTAGTATTCATCATAAGATTTCGCTCTCCATGTCCTCAGTCGATTTGGGAGATGGAATGGGAAGGAGAATGGGGATATATCTGCAATAAACAGTTAATTTTCGAGTTACTGGGGGACCGGATAGTGGTAGGCAAAGCACAAGTCAGCAGCTTTAACTAAATTCAGATTAGAATTCAGTGGCCCACAGTTAGTTAGAAAACATGTTTGTAAACGTGAATTGAGAACATTGTTTGCTAGTGCAAAGGAAAAATTCTATTATTAGGAAGTTATTGACATCGGCAGTAATACACAAAGTAAATTTTCAATATTTTTTTTTTCTAAAATAGACAAATTAACATCGGCGGTCCAGTAACACACAAAAATTTTATCTCGTATAAATTACAAATATTTTTCTTAAAATGCAGTTTATGGAGCATGTTTGACTAAAAATTATGAAAAAAAAAAATATTGAAGTCATGACGGTGTCTGACACTGAATATTGGGAACGTCAGAATTACACTGAATATTGGGAACGTTAGAATTGAATTGTCTTAGAAGATATACGCTTTCTCTCCTATCTGAGCGTTGTCATGCGTAAAACAAAGCTGATTAACGAAAAGAATGAATTTCCTTACTTTGTTTTATATAAAACTTGTAAAACTGTATTTGTGAATATTATAAATGATAAGCGTTGTATAGGTCGTCGATGTTTAGTGTTGTCATCACATAATAATGTGCTGTACCTCGCGTCCTTGTGACCAACCTCCAGGCGCTCTGCTCGTCCATCTTCCTAACTCCCTATCTTACTCATACCTCCCTCCCTATCTTACTCAAACCTCCCTGCCTCTCGTACCTCCCTCCATCCCTGTCTCTCGTACCTCCCTCTATCCCTGTCTCTCGTACCTCCCTCCATCCCAGTCTCTCGTACCTCCCTCTCTCTCGTATCTCCCTCTCACTCGGGACCTCCCTCCCCTCCCCTCCCCCTTCCTCCTTGTACCCCTCCCTCCTCTTACCCCCCCTCCCTCCCCCCCTTACCCCCTCCCTCTCTTACCCCTCCCTCTTACCCCTCCCTCCCTATCCCCATACCTCCCTCCCTCATATCTCCCTCCCTCATACTCCCTTTCTCTCGTACCTCCCTCTCTCTCTCGTATTTCCCTCCCTCTCGTATTTCCCTCCCTCTCGTATTTCCCTCCCTCTCGTATCTCTCTCCCTATCTCTCTCATACCTCCCTCCCTCTCACTCGTACCTCCCTCCCTCTCTCGTACCTCTCCCCTATCGTACCTCCCTCTCTCGTACCTCTCCCCTATCGTACCTCCCTCTCTCGTACCTCCCTTCCTATCCCTCTCATACATCCCTGTCTCACTCATACCTCCCGATCACACTAATACCTACCTTCCTATCTCACTCGTACCTCTCCCACTGATACCTATCAGTCATATCTCCCTTATTTCTTTCTTACTCCTCCCTCAATGTTTCACTTGTTTCTCCTTCCTTATCCCCCCCTCCAACCTCCCTCCCTCTCCCACTCGTATCTCCCGCCATATACCACTCATACTTCCCTTGTTCTCCTCGTACTTCCCTCCCTATCGTCCTCATACTTCCCCCTGTATCATCCTGATACTTCCCTTCCTATCATCATCATCATATTTCCCTTCCTATTATCATCATCATCATACTTCCCTTCCTATTATCATCATCATCATACTTCCCTTCCTATTATCATCATCATCATACTTCCCTTCCTATCATACTAATACTGTACTTCCCTCATCCTCGTACATCCCTCCCTGTCTTCATACTTTCTTCCCTATCATCCTTGTATTTCCCTCCCTTGTCATGTGGGTTTTCGATACGTGGATAGGGTAAGAATACTCACGTAGGCTGGTAGTATGTATAATATATAACGGGAAGTATGGAAAGCGCCAACAGCCGTCCTGCCTCTCTCTGCTCCCTAGCCTGACTGACCCATGAGTGCCTAAGGGTGAGGGTGGTTGAAATCCTGCTATGGTCAGCAGCAATATGAATACAGTCAGTGATTCACGCAGAGACGGTTGGTAGTGAGTCATCTACTGGTTACTGGTAACTGGTTACTAGGAACTGGTACTACTACTGAGAGCTCGGCGACGCTAACGTATGTCGTCCCGACATACAACTAATACAAACTAGAGACGGCAGGTGTACGGCTTGGGCTGATTCTATACAATGTCAAAGTACACAACAATTGAACATTATAACATACATAAGTAGAATATTGGAATGGAAGCTTACATAATTGAAACTGTAATAAAACTGTAATGCAATACAAGGTATAATATAGCACAACTCATCAACTGAAACTCAACGTTGAGATTACACAATAGAAGTTATAAAAAAAATTTGATCGATCGATCTGTATTCATGTGATCTACAGATTCTGAGGAAGGAATATATACAAAGAAAGAAGTGTTTAACAGAAAGGCAGATTCAGTGCACTCAAATCTAGACTGTTAACTCTCAGAATTTGGAGAGAACGTGAACACAAAAAAAAAATTCTTGAATACTGATAAGCTGATACAGTAATTATTCATCTATACAGGTTATTTACATTTAACCCCAACTCTGCTAGGGTGAGATTGATATATGCAGAATGGGTGTCATCTCTGGGAGGATCAAACTCTGTTGCACTGGCTAACTCATGCTGTATTTGAGGCAAATCTGAATTGGAAGTAACATAATAATAAGCGTGTATGCACCTGGAGAAGAGAGGAATGCAGAGGAGAGAGAGAGATTTTGGGAGATGTTAAGTGAATGTATAGGAGCCTTTGAACCAAGTGAGAGAGTAATTGTGGTAGGGGACTTGAATGCTAAAGTAGGAGAAACTTTTAGAGAGGGTGTGGTAGGTAAGTTTGGGGTGCCAGGTGTAAATGATAATGGGAGCCCTTTGATTGAACTTTGTATAGAAAGGGGTTTAGTTATAGGTAATACATATTTAAGAAAAAGAGGATAAATAAGTATACACGATATGATGTAGGGCGAAATGACAGTAGTTTGTTGGATTATGTATTGGTAGATAAAAGACTGTTGAGTAGACTTCAGGATGTACATGTTTATAGAGGGGCCACAGATATATCAGATCACTTTCTAGTTGTAGCTACACTGAGAGTAAAAGGTAGATGGGATACAAGGAGAATAGAAGCATCAGGGAAGAGAGAGGTGAAGGTTTATAAACTAAAAGAGGAGGCAGTTAGGGTAAGATATAAACAGCTATTGGAGGATAGATGGGCTAATGAGAGCATAGGCAATGGGGTCGAAGAGGTATGGGGTAGGTTTAAAAATGTAGTGTTAGAGTGTTCAGCAGAAGTTTGTGGTTACAGGAAAGTGGGTGCAGGAGGGAAGAGGAGCGATTGGTGGAATGATGATGTAAAGAGAGTAGTAAGGGAGAAAAAGTTAGCATATGAGAAGTTTTTACAAAGTAGAAGTGATGCAAGGAGGGAAGAGTATATGGAGAAAAAGAGAGAGGTTAAGAGAGTGGTGAAGCAATGTAAAAAGAGAGCAAATGAGAGAGTGGGTGAGATGTTATCACAAATTTTGTTGAAAATAAGAAAAAGTTTTGGAGATGAGATTAACAAGTTAAGAAAGCCTAGAGAACAAATGGATTTGTCAGTTAAAAATAGGAGAGGAGAGTTATTAAATGGAGAGTTAGAGGTATTGGGAAGATGGAAGGAATATTTTGAGGAATTGTTAAATGTTGATGAAGATAGGGAAGCTGTGATTTCGTGTATAGGGCAAGGAGGAATAACATCTTGTAGGAGTGAGGAAGAGCCAGTTGTGAGTGTGGGGGAAGTTCGTGAGGCAGTAGGTAAAATGAAAGGGGGTAAGGCACCGGGATTGATGGGATAAAAGATAGAAATGTTAAAAGCAGGTGGGGATATAGTTTTGGAGTGGTTGGTGCAATTGTTTAATAAATGTATGGAAGAGGGTAAGGTACCTAGGGATTGGCAGAGAGCATGCATAGTTCCTTTGTATAAAGGCAAAGGGGATAAAAGAGAGTGCAAAATTATAGGGGGATAAGTCTGTTGAGTGTACCTGGTAAAGTGTATGGTAGAGTTATAATTGAAAGAATTAAGAGTAAGACGGAGAATAGGATAGCAGATGAACAAGGAGGCTTTAGGAAAGGTAGGGGGTGTGTGGACCAGGTGTTTACAGTGAAACATATAAGTTGAACAGTATTTAGATTAAGGCTTTAAAAAGGTCTTTGTGGCATTTATGGATTTGGAAAAGGCGTTATGACAGGGTGGATAGGGGGGCAATGTGGCAGATGTTGCAAGTGTATGGTGTGGGGAGGTAGGTTACTGAAAGCAGTGAAGATTTTTACGAGGATAGTGAGGCTCAAGTTAGAGTATGTAGGAAAGAGGGAATTTTTTTCCCAGTAAAAGTAGGCCTTAGACAAGGATGTGTGATGTCACCGTGGTTGTTAATATATTTTAGATGGGGTTGTAAGAGAAGTAAATGCGAGGGTCCCCCTTGGCAAGAGGCGTGGAGTTAAAGATAAGAATCACACACAAAGTGGGTTGCACAGCTGCTCTTTGCTGTTGACACTGTGCTCTTGGGAGATTTGAAGGGGGAAGTTGCAGAGATTGGTGGATGAATTTGGTTTAGGGTGTGCAAAAGAAGAAAATTAAAGGTGAATACAGGAAAGAGTAAGGTTATGAGGATAAAAAAAAGATTAGGTGATGAAAGATTGAATATCAGATGGAGGGGAGAGTATGGAGGAGGTGAACGTATTCAGAATTTGGGAGTGGGGCGTGTC